ATATAATGACGTAATTCAGCCAAGAATCTTCTAACTTGTGCAACTTCAATTACATCTAAATAGCCATTAACTCCAGTAAAGATAGTTGCTACTTGTTCTTCTACAGCTAAAGGTGCAGCTTGAGGCTGTTTAAGCAACTCACGTAAACGTTGTCCTCTAGCTAATTGGTTTTGAGTAGCTTTATCAAGATCAGAAGCAAATTGTGAAAAAGCTTCTAATTCTGCAAATTGAGCTAACTCTAGTTTCAATTTACCTGCAACTTGTTTCATTGCTTTAATCTGCGCTGCAGATCCTACACGAGATACTGAAATACCAACATTAATAGCAGGACGAATACCAGCATTAAATAAATCAGCTGATAAGAAAATTTGTCCGTCTGTAATAGAAATTACATTTGTTGGGATATAAGCAGAGACGTCACCAGCTTGAGTTTCAACAATAGGCAAAGCAGTCATACTACCTTCACCTAATTGATTACTTAATTTGGCAGCTCTTTCTAATAGACGAGAATGTAAGTAGAAAACGTCTCCAGGATAAGCTTCGCGTCCAGGTGGGCGTCTTAGAAGTAGAGACATTTGACGATAAGCTTGAGCTTGTTTAGACAAATCATCATATACTACTAATGTATGACGTCCTTTATACATAAAGTATTCAGCAATTGTCGCACCAGTATAAGGAGCAAGGTATTGCAAAGTAGCAGGTGAGTTAGCTGTTTCTGCTACAATTACAGTATATTCCATTGCACCACGTTCTTCGAAGGTGTTTACAACTTGAGCTACAGAAGAAGCCTTTTGTCCAATAGCTACATAGACACAGACAACATTTTGTCCTTTTTGATTTAGAATTGTATCTGTAGCTACTGCTGTTTTCCCAGTTTGACGGTCTCCAATGATCAATTCTCGTTGACCACGACCAATTGGAATCATGGCATCAATAGCAATAAGTCCTGTTTGCATTGGTTCATAAACAGAACGTCTAGAGATAATACCAGGAGCAGGAGATTCAATTAAACGATATTCAGAAGCTGGGATATCTCCTTTGCCATCAATTGGACGACCAAGTGCATTAACTACACGTCCTAGATAGCCGTCACTAACAGGAATTTGAGCGATTTTTCCAGTTGCTTTAACTGAACTACCTTCTTGGATACTCAATCCTTCTCCCATAAGTACAGCACCAACATTATCTGCCTCTAGGTTTAGAGCAATTCCAACTGTACCATCTTCAAATTCTAGTAGCTCCCCTGCCATGACTTTGTCTAGGCCATAAATACGAGCAATACCATCTCCTACTTGAAGAACAGTACCTATGTTAACAACTTTAACTTCTTGATTATATTGCTCAATCTGTTTGCGGATAATACTACTGATTTCATCAGGTCGAATATTTACCATGGACGTGGTGTGTAATCTTGAAAGTATAGCACCTATATATGTTCTTTTTTCTACTCAGCAGAATTTTCCATAGCTTTAAATAAGCCAATATGATAATCAATCATTCTAGCATGTAAATCCATATTCAAACGACTATTAATTACTTCTAAAGCTCTTTCAACTGCTAATCGAGAAACTTGTTGTCGTACTTGTACAATGGCTTTTTGTTCTTCAAAACGAATAGTCATATTTTTAGAATCTTCTAAACGTTTAGAATCCTCATCAGCAGCCTTGATTAATTCTTCTTTTTCTCTCTCAATTTGCAATATGCTATTAACACGGATTTCTTCTGCTTTTTCTTTTGCTTGTTCTAAACGAGCTCGAGCTTGATTTAGCTTTTCAGTCGCTTCTTGGTAACGTTCTTCTGCATCGCGAATGGTGCTTAATATAGTTTCTTTGCGATTATTTAAGATATTAGTTAATGAAGTAGATTGCTAATCTATGCTAATGCATTAGCTTAACTATCTCTTCCCAAACCGGACATGAATCTTCTCGATTCACCCGGCTCTCTCGTTCACCCATGTGTAATTAAAGCCCGATAAGAAACATGTATATATTCTTTTTCTTGCAACTTATAGAAAAGGCAAAAAAGACATGTTTTTTGTATCCTAAATGACTTATACACAAATGTTTGAACGTACCTTTCATTGCAAATGCGATTTCAAGGTTCTCCTGACCATTTGTTTTTGATCAGCACGGTTGTTTTCTTCGAATCACTATAAAAAATCTTAAGGTTGTCTATTTAGTATATTGTTATCAAGTGTATTTCTTGAATATATTCTGGAAGATTCTGACTGATGAATTCATTGAATGAATTCCCTTATAATCTCGATACGAGTGTTCTGTACCGAAAAAATCTCCAACAAGGTTAAGATTTGTAATTATCTTATTGAGCAAAGAAAGCTCCAGCAATACTTAGACTTCAAGCAATAGAGCCTTAACCTAGTAGATTTTTCCTCATTATAGAAAGTTAATAGTGTCTTTAACTTAATATTCAACGAAATGCTTTTGTCCATACAAAGATTCTTCTTTGTGAGTCATTCGTGAGGATCATACACTTTATAGTCAGAGTGTAGTTGGATTTTTTTCCAACCATGTCATTCAAATATTCATCCCGCACACACTCCCTTACCAAAGTAAACTAATACACCGATCACTACTGCTAAATTGATCAAATTAGTATCTAGCAAATTGGTATTGAGGCTTAGCCCCTCATTTGCCAGAGCCCAAGAATCCAACGAAGCAATCAAGTCAATTGCGCTGTTCATACCCTGTTTCTCCAATAAGGTCCATTTTCTACATAATGCTACTTATATGAGGTTTAACTAAAATGTCAGGAAATTTATATTACCTCATGATTTAAGTTCTTGGGTCTAGTACATCTTCTTATACGTATTATGTAATAGCAAATATTAGAATGAGTTTTTCAACTAGATTAATCTCCTGAATATCAGAAAAATATGTATAAAACAATATACCAAATGATGCCGATATGCATTATTTCTCATTTGTAATTTAGAGCATTCTTGTTTGAACATAGATTCTCTTATGATCAAAATGAAAAGCATACAATCGGCATCTTTCCCCCAAATAACTTGTTTTTCCCTATGCCTGTCTACTTAAAGTCAAAAATCAACTTCAGTCTTTCTATGAAACATAGTCATAGCAAAACCTATGTGCTAGACAAGCTAAAAGCTTTGTGTATAGAACTATACAAAAGGATTTGCAAATAGAAGAGCTAAAGCTACTACTAGTCCATAGATAGTCAAAGCTTCCATGAAAGCCAAACTAAGTAACAAAGTGCCTCGGATCTTACCTTCGGCTTCTGGTTGTCTTGCAATACCTTCTACAGCTTGTCCAGCAGCAGTTCCTTGTCCAATACCAGGACCAATGGAAGCTAGACCTACAGCCAACCCAGCAGCGATCACGGAAGCAGCAGAGATCAAAGGGTTCATTACTTTTCTCCTTCAAATAAGACCAAGGAGGCTGTGTATTCTACAAGTCTCCCCGTGTATGCCTAAATGTACAAACATTTTAGCAATTAGTAACTCATGATGTCTCTTGGGTGTGATAGTAGCACCAAAAAGCAATGTCAATAAACGTTTATCTTATCATACCATGTAGAACACAGTTCTACCAATTAAAGAAAAACATTTATAACTTAAACTGTCTCTAAAAAATACATAATACATATCATATAATGTATTTCTTTGCAGCTTTTGATAACAGCAACTTGAGTATTTTCTAAGATAATTAGACAATTCTCATACAGAGACAGCTAAGCTTAGAATAGGAGAATCCTATTCTAATTCTTACAAAAAATCAACTAATTATCTATATCTTTTTGTTGAAAAGATATACACAGAAGATCGTTTCTCTTGATAAAACATGATGATAATAATCATCATGAACTAAAGAAAATAGAAATAATACATTTATTTATGTGCTTGCTGTAACAGGGAAATACAAATTGTTTTTTTGATTTAGTTTCAAAAAAAATAAAGATGAACTAATTTTAGTTTCATGTTCCCTATTTTACAAATTTCTTCTAAAAGGTATTATAATCTATGTTTGCAAGTTGTCAACAATAAGAAGTTATATGTATATATTCCTTCTTCTAAGGAGATTGCAATGTTGTCAAATCCAACTTTCACTCTTTATATCAATAATTTTTTTGTATATCAGATAGAATAAATTCTATTCGAACCACAACAAATATGGGAGTAGACTACTCCCATATTTGTTTTACCAACTTGATTTAGTTACACCAGGTAATAAACAAGCATGTGCCATTTCACGCAATACATGTCTTGACAAGCCAAAGTCACGATAAACTGCTTTTGGTCTTCCTGTTACAAAACAACGACGAGTAATTCTATTAGGCGCACTATTTCGTGGCAAAGATTGCAATTCTCTATGCAATTGACATTTTTCATCAATTGATGAAACTGTCTTAATTTGTTCTTTTAATTCCTGACGACGCTCATAGTATTTAGATGCTAATCTTTCACGTTTCTTATCCCTTTCAATCATACTTTTTTTAGCCATATTGTTTATAAAAAATAAAAATAACGGAAGAAGCTTATATAGTGAATTTCAGGCTATCCCACCTCTTGAGAGGTGGGATAGCCTAAAAAACTTACTATTTTCTTAATATCTCAAAAATAGATTTTTACAAAATAGTAAGCAGTTATGATGTTGACATATCCTTAACCGAATTTACCTGAGGTAGATGCAATTAGGAAAGCAGCATAGGTAAATACATAACCTACAGAGAAATGAGCTAATCCTACTAATCTAGCTTGCACAATAGAAAGAGCTACTGGTTTATCTTTCCAACGCACAAGATTAGCTAATGGAGTACGTTCATGAGCCCAAGCTAATGTCTCGATCAATTCTTGCCAATAACCACGCCAAGAGATCAAGAACATGAAACCTGTAGCCCAAACAAGGTGTCCAAATAAGAACATCCAAGCCCATACAGACAAACTGTTCATACCGAATGGGTTGTATCCATTAATTAACTGAGATGAGTTTAACCATAGATAATCTCTAAGCCAGCCCATTAAGTAAGTAGAAGATTCATTAAATTGCGCTGCATTACCTTGCCATAAAGCTAAGTGTTTCCAATGCCAGTAGAAGGTTACCCATCCAATAGTATTTAACATCCAGAAAACAGCTAGATAAACAGCATCATAAGCAGAAATATCGCAAGTTCCACCTCTACCTGGACCGTCACAAGGGAAGCTGAATCCAAATTCCTTTTTGTCAGGCATTAATTTAGATCCACGAGCATCTAAAGCACCTTTCACAAGAATCAAGGTTGTTGTATGCAAACCTAGAGCAATTGCATGGTGTACTAAGAAATCCCCTGGGCCAATAGTCAAGAATAAAGAATTACTATTGTTATTAATAGCATCTAACCACCCTGGTAACCATAGACTTTTTCCTGCAGTAATAGTAATGCTAGAACTGGAAGAAAGTAATACATCAAATCCATATAAAGCCTTACCATGAGTAGATTGAATCCACTGAGCAAAAACAGGTTCAATTAGGATTTGTTTTTCTGGAGTACCAAAAGCCAGTACAACATCATTATGTACGTATAGACCAAGTGTATGGAAGCCCAAGAATAAGCTAGCCCAACTTAGGTGAGAAATAATAGCTTCTTTGTGTTCCAACATTCTAGCCAATACATTTCCTTTGTTTTGCTCTGGATTGTAATCTCTGATAAAGAAAATTGCACCATGAGCAAAAGCTCCTGTCATGATGAAGCCAGCAATATACTGATGGTGAGTATAAAGTGCTGCTTGAGTAGTAAAATCTTGAGCTATGAATGCATAAGAAGGTAAGGAATAGCTGTGCTGAGCTACCAAAGAAGTGATAACACCTAAACACGCTAATGCTAATCCTAATTGGAAATGAAGAGAATTATTCACTGTGTCAAATAGGCCTTGGTGACCGCCGCCCATACGACCGCTTGGAGCAATATGTGCTTCCATAATCTCTTTCATACTATGTCCAATTCCAAAGTTGGTACGATACATATGTCCAGCAACGATGAATATTACAGCAATTGCTAGATGGTGATGAGCTATATCGCTTAACCAAAGACTTTGTGTCTGTGGATGAAAACCGCCTAAGAAAGTTAAGATAGCAGTACCAGCTCCTTCTGAAGTACCAAAGATATGGCTGCTAGAATCTGGATTTTGTGCATAAACACCCCATTGGCCAGCAAAGAAAGGTGCTAAACCTTGTGGATGTGGAGCAGTAGTTAAGAAATTATCCCATCCTACATGCTGTCCTCTAGATTCAGGAATAGCTACGTGTACGATATGTCCAGCCCAAGCCAAAGAACTGGTTCCAAATAAACCAGCTAAATGGTGGTTTAAACGAGACTCAGCATTTTTGAACCAAGAAACACTAGGTTTCCACTTAGGTTGTAGATGTAACCATCCACCTACTAAAGAAACAGCAGCTAATCCTAATAGGAAAAGTGCTCCTGTGTAAAGATCTTGGTTAGAACGTAGACCTTGAGTATACCACCATTGATATACACCGGAATAGGAAATATTTACAGGACCAGAAGCGCCTCCTCGAGTATAAGCTTCTACTGCTGGTTGTCCAAAATGAGGATCCCAAATTGCATGTGCGATAGGACGAACATGCAAAGGATCTTGAGACCACGCTTCAAAATTGCCCTGCCATGCTACGTGAAACAAATTCCCAGAGGTCCACAAGAAGATAATTGCTAACTGACCAAAATGAGAAGCAAAAATCTTCTGATAAAGCCGTTCTTCGGTGATATCATCATGACTTTCGAAGTCGTGTGCAGTAGCAATTCCAAACCAAATACGGCGAGTGGTTGGGTCTTGGGATAGGCCCTGGCTAAATTTTGGAAATCTTGATGCCATAATGCTTTAAAACCCTCCTAGCCATTATCCTACTGAAATAATTCTTGCTAGGAAGAATGCCCATGTTGTGGCAATCCCACCCAGAAGGTAATGAGCTACTCCTACAGCACGCCCTTGAGTAATACTAAGAGCTCGAGGCTGGATAGCAGGAGCAACTTTAAGCTTATTATGAGCCCATAGAATGGATTCAATTAGTTCTTGCCAATAACCACGGCCACTAAACAAGAACATCAAGCTAAATGCCCATACGAAGTGAGCACCTAAGAAAACTAAACCATATGCAGATAAAGCAGATCCATAAGATTGAATTACTTGAGATGCTTGTGCCCATAAGAAATCACGCAACCATCCATTAATGGTAGTTGCACTTTGAGCAAAGTTCCCTCCAGTAATATGAGATACTCCTTGAGCATTTACAGTTCCCCATACATCTGATTGCATCTTCCAACTAAAATGGAAAATTACTACAGAAATAGAGTTATACATCCAGAATAGACCCAAGAATACATGGTCCCAAGCAGAAACTTGGCAAGTACCACCACGTCCTGGACCATCACAAGGGAAGCGGAAGCCTAAATTAGCTTTATCTGGGATTAGTCGAGAACTACGAGCAAATAATACACCCTTCAAAAGAATCAAAACAGTAACGTGAATAGTAAATGCATGAATATGGTGCACTAGGAAATCAGCTGTTCCTAATGGAATAGGAGACATTGCTACTTTCCCACCTACTGCTACTAATTCACTACCACCCCAAGTGATACTGCTAGCGGCAGCTGCATTAGGTGCTGTGAAACCAGGTGCTGCAGCGTTAGTATTTTGAACCCATTGAGCAAACACAGGCTGAAGTTGAATAGCTGTGTCAGAGAACATATCTTGAGGACGACCTAAGGCACTCATAGTATCGTTATGAATATACAAACCAAAACTATGGAATCCTAGGAAGATACATACCCAGTTAAGATGAGAAATAATTGCATCTCTATGACGTAGAACACGATCTAATAGATTGTTATACTGAGTAGTTGGATCGTAATCTCTTACCAAATAGATAGCTGCATGAGCACCAGCCCCTACAACGCAGAATCCACCAATCCACATGTGGTGTGTGAATAAGGATAACTGAGTACCATAATCAGTTGCTAAATATGGGTAAGGAGGCATAGCATACATATGATGTGCTATGATAATTGTTAAAGATCCAAAAGTAGCTAAGTTTAATGCTAATTGAGCATGCCAAGAAGTGGTCAAAATTTCATAAAGTCCTTTGTGACCTTCACCAGTCATAGGCCCTTTGTGAGCTTCTAACATTTCTTTCATGCTATGACCAATTCCCCAGTTAGTTCTATACATATGTCCTGCTACTAGGAAAAGGACTGCAATTGCTACGTGGTGGTGAACTGTATCAGTTAACCATAAACCTCCTGTAACTGGATTTAGACCGCCACGGAAAGTTAAGAAATCAGAATACTCTGCCCAGTTTAAGGTAAAGAAAGGAGTTACACCTTTCGCAAAGCTAGGATATAACTGAGCTAATAAGTCTCTGTTAAATATAAATTCGTGAGGCAAAGGAATTTCTTTAGGGTCAACTCCTGCATCTAACAATTGGTTGATAGGCAAAGATACATGAATTTGGTGTCCAGCCCAACCCAAAGATCCTAAGCCTATTAGACCGCCTAAATGGTGGTTCATCATAGATTCTGCATCTTGGAACCAAGCCAATTTAGGTGCAGCTTTATGATAATGGAACCAACCAGCGATAAACATTAAGCCTGCCATTAATAAACCACCAATTGCAGTGGAATATAACTCTAGTTCAGTAGTGATTCCAGAAGAACGCCACATTTGGAATAAACCAGAGGTAATTTGAACTCCCTGGAATCCACCACCTACGTCGCCGTTCAAAATTTCTTGACCTACAATTGGCCAAACAACTTGAGCACTAGGTTTGATGTGGGTTGGATCACTTAACCATGCTTCATAATTGGAAAAGCGTGCACCATGAAAATACATTCCGCTTAACCAAATGAATATGACAGCTAATTGACCAAAGTGTGCACTAAAAACCTTACGAGAAATTTCTTCTAGATCACTAGTGTGGCTATCAAAATCGTGAACATCAGCATGCAGGTTCCAAATCCAAGTGGTTGTAGTAGGACCTTTTGCTAACGCACGAGAGAAATGACCTGGCTTAGCCCATTTTTCAAAAGAGGTTTTTACAGGATCATTGTCTACCACAATCTTGACTTCTGGTTCCGGTGAACGAATAGTCATTGAGATTCTCCTCTCTTCAGACGAGACAAAGGAAACACCTGCCCAAAATCATGAATCAGCTTCTGAGAGGGTAATATTTTAGAATTGCTACCCACTTTATTAAGTCTGTAACTAGAACAACTATGATACAGAAGTGACCCAGGACAGACTCCTAAATATATTATGACACACATTTAAGGTGCTTAATGGACCAATACATAAATAAGTGAAAGTTAGGAATTTAACCTGTATATTTACTAGGCAAGTAATAAAAAATGCGAAGTGAAGCAAATAATGGAAACTTTGCTATATTTTATATATTTTTATTTTATATCAAACATAAAGGACATTCTGATCAATTTGTTCGCCATACAACATACAAAAAAGAGAAAATATAGCAAACTACAACCGTGCGCAGGATTCCTGCGCACAGTTGTTATATATGCAGCTTGCCTCTAAAACAAGATTGTTTAGCCAACGAAAGGAGCTTCAACAGATGCTAAGTCTAGAGGGAAGTTGTGAGCGTTACGCTCGTGCATAACTTCCATACCTAGGTTAGCACGGTTGATGATATCAGCCCAAGTGTTGATTACACGACCTTGGCTATCAACTACGGATTGGTTGAAGTTGAAACCGTTTAGGTTGAATGCCATAGTACTGATACCTAAAGCAGTAAACCAAATACCTACTACAGGCCAAGCAGCCAAGAGAAGTGTAGAGAACGAGAGTTGTTGAAACTAGCATATTGGAAGATTAGACGTCCAAAGTAGCCGTGAGCTGCAACAATGTTGTAAGTTTCTACTTCTTGACCAAACTTGTAACCAGCGTTAGCAGATTCGTTTTCGGTGGTTTCACGGATCAAGCTGGAGGTAACCAAGGAACCATGCATTGCACTGAATAGAGAGCCGCCGAAAACACCAGCCACACCTAGCATATGGAATGGGTGCATAAGGATGTTGTGCTCAGCTTGGAATACGATCATGAAGTTGAAAGTACCAGAGATACCTAAAGGCATACCGTCAGAGAAACTTCCTTGTCCGATTGGTAGATTAGGAATACTGCGGTAGCAGCTGCAACAGGAGCAGAGTATGCAACAGCGATCCAAGGACGCATACCTAGACGGAAGCTAAGTTCCCATTCACGACCCATGTAAGAAGCTACACCTAAAAGGAAGTGAAGAACGATTAGTTGGTAAGGACCACCATTGTATAACCATTCATCAACGGAAGCAGCTTCCCAGATAGGGTAGAAGTGCATACCGATTGCTGCAGAAGTAGGAACGATAGCACCAGAAATGATGTTGTTCCGTATAGAAGAGAACCAGAAACAGGCTCACGGATACCATCGATATCTACTGGAGGAGCTGCGATGAAACCAATGATGAATACAGAAGTTGCAGTTAGAAGAAGAGGTACCATCAATACGCCGAACCATCCGATGTAAAGACGGTTTTCGGTGCTGGTAATAAAGTCAGAGAAACGACCCCATAGGCTTGCGCTTTCGCGTCTTTCTAAAGTAGCAGTCATGGTAATTATTGGTTAATAAAGTAAAAAATATGACTCAAGCTGCTTATAAGCTTGTTAGTATATATTATTACACAGAGAGTGTCATATGTCAACCTGATTTTTTATTACAACTCTTTTATCGATGGTATCTCTATACAATGTTCGAAAGAACTTCTTATAATAAAAAGGATTGCAAAATCAAATCCCTATGAAAATATAGACATCATGATGTCTATGTGTTTATTTGTATAAAAGAATTCGAAAAAACACTTTGGTTTTTTCCAATTTACAGTTACTATAGTATCAGAGTTATGGATAGCAGCAAGGAAAACTAGCTGCTTCTACCTATAAATTTTGAAGAAAAATCAGACCATGCAAAAAAGAGATGCTTGTAAATGGATACGAAGATGGGTGGGCTATCAATCTCAATCATAGTTATGGCTTTGCCAATGGCTTTGCCATTAAATTCGGAAGCATTTCCGATATTTGCACAGCAAAACTATGAAAGTCCTCGAGAAGCGACTGGACGCATTGTATGTGCTAATTGCCATTTGGCAAAAAAACCGGTGGATATCGAAGTGCCACAAGCAGTTCTTCCCAATACTGTTTTTGAAGCAGTAGTTAAGATTCCGTATGATACCCAAATTAAACAGGTATTAGCCAATGGTAAAAAAGGGA